TGGGGGATGAAAGAAGAACGATTTATTGTTCCGAGTTCCGACGGATTGATAGCCGGCTCTGAATTTTTTGGATACTGTCAATGTAGAAGGGGGTGGGTAAGTGGGTTTGTAGTCGGTTTTGAGAAATTGTGGGAGAGAGTCGGTCAATTTTAGAGAAGTTGCCAACTCTATGCTTAGGCTTTGTTTGCAACCACTTGTGCTTAAATAAAAGTACTTTTTGGGAAAAAGTTATTAGTAGTAAAAGTTGGTAGTGTTTGGTAAAATAAGTGCTTTTTGTGTAATAGAAAAAGTAAAAAGTAGATTCTACACAGAAGACGAGAAAGTAAAAGTTGGTAGTGTTTGGTAAAATAAGTGCTTTTTTCTTAGAAAAAAGCCAAAATCACTTTTCTTAAGTGATTGCAAACAAGCCCTTAGGCCAATTGGGGTGGTGTAGTATTAGGAGTCCAAAATGTTAAAGATGGAACTTTTGGACTCTTAATTTTATGTAGTGATAGGCTAAATAGGGTATTAAGAATGGAAGAGGGGATGAAGGGTGTTAGAAATAGAAGGTGGGTTGGTAGGAGTGAAAAAAAAATAGGGAAGGGAATGGCCAAGAATGTGTTGTATGGATGTGAGGATGATGTCATCCATGCATCATTCTAATCTCAAAATTTTCAAAACTCTTATAACTTTTTTATTTGTTCTCCAAATTTTTCAAAAGATATATCAAAATTTACGAATTTTTATTATCTTTCATATGACACCAACATATAGTATATAAAATGAAAACAAATCTTATGTTTTAACTATTGGAATTTTCTTGAGCCTGAAAAAACACAAGACACAAATTTTTAATCCATGGAGCCTCTACGCATAACTGAATATTCCATAATAAAACTTTACTTGGACTAAATTCATTTTTTGTTAACCGAAAAACGTAAAAAAAATTAATGAAATTTATTTATTTTTGCATCGAAATATGTATAAAAGTCTATAGCCCAATTCTTGGTACTGAATTGGGGTTAATAAGCTGCTATGCTATAACGTAACTAAATGGTTCACAATATATTTTTCATTTTCATTGATTCATTTTCATCTGAATGTTTAGAGCATCTTAATGACTATTTTTTTATTCATCACCCAACTTTTTCATCAAACAGGTAATTATTATTTAATTGTGTATTATTAAAAAAATGTAAAGTTCGAGCCAAATTCAGTCCCACTTTTCATCAAATTCGAACATCATCAAATTAAGTAGAATGCCTGCTTGGTGATTCTGTTTTTGGGCTTATCGGGCTTATCAGCCAACTTTTTAACCAAACACGTAAATTTTGATATCGCGCACCAAATTGTGTAATAATAACAAAAAGTAAGGTCTCTCATATAAAACTTCAAGATAAAAATGAGAAAAAGTCACCTTATTTATTTATTTATTTATTTATTTATTTATTTATTTATTTATTTATTCTTTGGATCCATCGGGACTGACGGGGCTCGAACCCGCAGCTTCCACCTTGACAGGGCGGTGCTCTGACCAATTGAACTACAATCCCCGTCAAATAAGGAATCCAGTCAAAATTTTTATTTTTTGACCTATCTATCAGTATAGTTCTGAGATATTTTTCAAGTCCAGGTTCTGTTTTCTTATTGGGATTTGCGAATGATTGGGCCGAGCTAGATTTGAACCAGCGTAGACATATTGCCAACGAATTTACAGTCCGTCCCCATTAACCACTCGGGCATCGACCCAGGAAAAACCAAATTACTACTCAACTTTGTAATTAATCCATTATAAGCTTCCTTTCAAAGTACCCTACTTTTCTGGCTGTATTGACTGAAGTAACTATAGATGACCATTTTAGCTATTTTATCATATAACATTTTCTTTATTTTATCAATGACATATATTTTAAATATTTTTTTGCCATAAATCAGCAGAGTCATCCAACGGAACCACTTTGATCAAAACTTTATAAATTTCAGCAGAATCAACCCATTTCAGTGTTACCAAATGGGCTCTGAGTCAATTCGTTCAATTCACTTATGATTTTCACATTTGCATGTACTTTCAATGATTTTCAATGTATTTTACCAAAAAAAATGATTTTCAATGTACTTATCTTTTTTTTATAATCACAAATCTAATAAAATTCCCCGTGCATCGCACGGGTACTATACTAGTATAAGATAAAAAGGTAGAAAGATGAAGTTGAAAAATTAGGAGACATAAAATGTTCCTAGTTGGATGGATTAGGAATTCCAAATCACACCTGGACAAAATAAGACCTAGACAATAGTAAAATGCACATAAAGCAGGTATATATTATACTACGTATCAGACTAGACCAAAAATTCTCGTTCGAATTAAAAATATTCATAATATGAAGAAGCTAAGTCAAATTTACCAAAAATGATTCCAACAATTGACCCATTAATTTGATTGATTTACCTTTTGATTAAGAGAGAGAGTAAGCTTACCGAAATTGAAAGTGTTACGACTATCTGATCACTTTCAAAAGGGGTAGTGTTCAAAGTATTTTATACACGAGTATTTATTTAAATTTTGATATTTTTTAATACTTACACTTTTATATTAAGCACAAAAAACTTTAGTTGAAAATGCTATGTCATTTTTTTACGATCTATCCATTAAAAATGTTTGGTGTTTTGTTTGAGGTTAAACATTTTTAGTTTTTTGTTAAGTTTGTTTTTTCTCAAGTGTAATACCTCTCGTGGGGAATCTAGAAAAACTACTTATTGGGAGCAATCTTCATAGAACATGAACATTTATTCAATCCACCAATTACCTAATTCGGGCTCCATGATGAAATACAACTTTTTTTACATAATAAACAACGATTTCAATTATATATATAATATATATATACATATATATAGGGGAAAGATCAAGTACAAAGTGTGCTTATTGTGCAAATATTTGTACGATGCACCTTAACGTTATTTGCATTGCATATTGAGGTTCAAAGTATTGCACATTATAAAGTCATAAAAATAACAGTTGCACATTAAGGTGCAACGAGTTGCACCCTAAAAAGTTGGGTTTTATTACAAAAATGCCACCTTGCCTTTATGTCCTTTGGATCAACTCATCGGACGGTCAAGATGAGTTTGTACTTTGTAAATTAAGAAGGCTTTGTATTTGATCTCTATTCTATATATATATATATATATATATATATATATATATATATATATATATATATATATATATATATATATATATATAGACAATATACATAGACAATAATTCATGTCCAGCCAGCCTGACAGGAATCGCCGTCCGGCTGAGGCTATTACGGACCCTTTCCGGTGTCAATTTTTGATGAGATTGTTTTAGCACGTTCCTCATCAAGTATAGTTTATACCCACCAAATTTCAGTTAACAATTCAATCAGCAAGACAGTCAAATAATTTTTTGAAAATCACTGCGCAATTTATATATAGCAGCGCTTCTGTCATGCCGGCCTAACAGGACTCGCCGTCCGTCCAAGGGCATTTGAGGCCCTTCCTGGTGGATTTTTTTGATAAATGTTTTTGAGCATGTTCATCATCAATAGGGGTGGACTGAACCGGGCCGGTTCGGGCCTCGGGCCTGGGCCCGGCCGGGCCTCGGTTCAGTATATATAGGCCCGAGCCCGAACCGGGGTTGGCCGGTTCCGGGCCGGTTCCGGGCCAGACCGGGCCGGTTCCGGGCCGGTTCCGGGCCAGACCGGGCCGGTTCCGGGCCGGGCCACCCGCCCTATTAATTTTTTTTTTTTTTGGCTTCTTTATTAATCCCCTACCCCTCTTTCTCAACCCCAAACCACCCCAAACCATCTCAAATGGACCAAAATACCTAATCTAACCCAAAACATAAAAAATTTTCAAAAAAAAAAAAAAAAATTAATTCCGGCCCGGACCGGGCCCGAACCGGCCGGACCGGGCCCGAACCGGCCGGGCCGGTTCACCATATGGAAGGCCCGGGCCCGGAACCGGGAACCACCGGGCCGGTTCGACCCGAACCGCCGGTGGACCGGGCCACCGGGCCGGGCCGGTTGCTACAGTGGCCGGGCCGGGCCGGTTCCGGGTCGGGCCGCCCGGCCCGAGTCCAGGCCTAATCATCAAGTGTAGTTTACCCGTACCAAATATCAACTAAAATTTCAATCGAAAGACAGTCAAATAAATTGTTGAAAAAACTTGTGCACGTAATTATCACCGGCGTGATATACTAGTTTACAAAGCCCAAAGTCGTCTCTCCTTCCCCTTCTAGTTTAGCTACTATAGTACCGGGCCTACCGGCGTGATATACTAGTTTGTTGGCTTGTTCATAAAACAACTTATTTGATGAGTGAAGTGTGTTATGTATATGTTTTCACTAGTGTAGAAAAGGCAAATATCAGAGAGTAAAGAGGCACCATTTAAGGAGTTCAATATGTTCTATAGAATATCTCAATATAGTCCAAAACTTTAGGGAATCCAGAACTCAATGAGGACCTCCGAGCTGGCTAGGAGGCTATCCAGTCGTCCCTTGTAAGCTCCTGATGCTAGGAAGTAATCGCATGTTGTATACAACCTAAATATCGGGTCGCCCGTTATTATTAATGTCGGGTAACAAATTAGTCACCTCTCACACTCTAGAACACCTTTTAGAAGAGACCTTTTAGGAGAGACATACTCAGTGATTAGGGATACAAAACTAACAAAAATACCAGGCATACAATGAGGCATCTCCTCCTCTTCTGTATATATAACCAGGCAATGATATGCAAGCTGAATAAGTGGAACATCATTAGGAATTAGGGTACACGTACACCTTACGCACAACAACAGCAACAAATAAAGATGGTGCCAGACAAAACCAAGGTTGATCATATACATCATCAACCTATACACCTCATATCCACAACTGGAGGGACCCACAAACATGTAAAATGCTCTCTGAATCCCAGATAGATGTACACATGGACTCCACACTCACTTGAGTATCAAGGGATAGATTATCTAGCAATTTGGGCAGAGGTGGAGTCTTCTTTGTTTGACCAGCAGCTCTCTTTGATTCCACAGTAGGCCTGTAATGAACGCTCAATTTGTAGCGTCATCGTCATGCTCTTTCCTTCGTTTTCTAAGAGTGTACAGTAGTTCTCGAATGTCTGCACACTAACTTGAAGTCTAAAATCGAGACCAAACAAAAACTTCATCTCCAGTATATTCATTTCTGCAGTGCTCACACCACCCACCCTTGCATAATATGCGTTGTTGAAAAACCTGAAAAATAAAAACTGTGTATGCTTCACACATCATGGTGCAAAAACATTTTACAATTCAGACCTTGAAAAATGAAAAGCATTGCCTCTGATTGTATTGTCATTTCCCCGGTCATATTTTTGCAGATATAATACAATGAGAGAGAGTTTGTGTGTGGCTGCGTGAGCATAAACACGCAAATAACTAAACTAGTATTCACAATACATTTTATAAAACAGTCTTTGAGAAGCATGGAATATATTTGTAATATCATTAGGGGAACTATATTTTTGCAGACATAAGACAAATTATAGACCAAAAGAGAGAGAGAGTGTTGGCACATGTTTTTGTTAGGATATTTGCATACACAAACATGCCAACGACTTGAATAGTATTTACAAATTGCATCTTGTAAAAGAAATGAATTAATTGGTGTTGGCATATGTTTAATCCATGGACCAGCAATTTCAGAATGTTCAACATAATACACATTTAACACATGAATAAACGTTCTGCCAAAATAAAAGGCATAAAAGGGGATTTAGACGTTAAATCCTATAATAACTTCTTATTGGATCATGCTTGATTAGATTAAGAACCAAAGAATTAACTACGTTAGAAAGTCTGAACACATATAACCGCAGGATCCCATGACTAGAGTACACTACAAATATATGCATTATGTATATAAACCGAGATCTGCTACCTATCCCGTCATTCAAAAATAGAGCTATATTAGGTCAAGATACAACTTTTAAAATTTTGGCAAGGTAGAACTCTTATAAAGGTAAGTCTATTTAATATCATCACATTCTCTGGTATCACGTTCCATGGTATCTAGCAGGGAATGTAGCAAAAATGAACTAAAAAGTCATCTTTTGGACTCTCACATAGTCACATTACATTGATGAATACTACATTCATGTCAGCCAAACGGCAACGTATGATATTACCTTGAATAATTTGAGATTCCTATGTCATAAGATCATGATATGAACCCAACATTCCCCTAAAAGTCAGGGGTCCCTACTTTTTAAGTATTAATAGAGTTTATCACATTATACTTCTTTGTGACATTGTTTTGGAAAATTACATACAAAATTAGTCAAGTTTAATGAAATAGGATTGTTTTAGGACCCTAGGAACTTTGGACACGTGAGTCTTAATTTTGGACAGAGGGAGTACTAACTACGGACCTTTATTATCAAGAAGTAGGTGTGTAAATGGAAGTACACAACAAGTAAATGGACTTTTCAAAGCGAGTCAAAATGAAAGTTACGAGGACATGTAAAGCAAAACTTACGCATCATCAATAAACTTCGCAGCCACCATTACACTTGTAATCAAAAGCCGATGAACATTAATGGAAGTCAAAAAAGAGCTGGTGCATTGGATGAATTTCTCCATATATATGTGTGCTACCACAAAGCAGGAGGGGCTACAACAGGCATATTTGAAGATACGGTCCACGTATTGTTGAATGCTTAGAGCGGGGGCTCTTGAACCATGGAATACGGTAACGGGATCTTTGTCTGCTATACTTTTCATACACTTTTCATTTTTCTTAACAGAATTCTCAAGAAGCATTGAAATAATAGAAAGGACTTGAGGTTTTCTTGATTTTCCCTTGCCAGATCCTTTGAGACCAAGTCTCAAGTAATTCAACGAATATGTTTCGGGTGCTAACATTTCCATTCTTGGTTATGCTGGAAGTAAATGGTGTAAAAGTCAGCATTTAATGGAGAAATGGGATAAAATTTCTAAATAACTAGATTTTACGGATGAAGTATAGTAAAATAAAGAGTGAATATTCTACGAAAAACATTTATTGATATGATCATATGACCAAGTGTAATATTCTAACTAACTGCTAAGCTGGCCAGCAATGAATACGAAAGTTAGTATCAAGTGTCACATTGCATACTCAGTGAGTAGGTGGTTCACATAATTATTTCCTAATAAAAACAGGTAATCTCTAACTAATTACTCCCTCTATTTTTATTTAACTGTCCACATTAAAAAAACAATTTTTATATCTTCTTTGGGAAACAATGGAGCATTAATTACAAGTTTCCTAATAACATCCTTAAAAACTAAACAAAAAAACGTTGGACAACTTGTACGATGTGTTAAATACATGAGTGTAGAACTAAAGATTTGGTAAAAAGAAATATGTTGTGATTAGTTAAAAAATCTAGTTAACCGTCTTAGAAATATGTTGGGATAAGGTGGAGAGATAAATAGCAACAGATGGAGAAATTAAACACGGAAATTAAGAACATGTTAACATTGATTGTTTCACCTTCAACCAGTATAATAGTTATTTCATAAGATTCTTTTCTAATGATGTATTAAATACTCTAACACCCTTTGGAGCAAATTAATAAAACAGACTTATACTTTCATTAAATAAGTCAGATTTCACGTTGGAACACCATTTCACTTCAGGGAACAAAGATTTTGATATTTACTCTATAAGAATGATGTATGTACTTCAAGAATCATGAGGATGAGGAGACATGTTTATTGAGTAGTTTTTTATTCCCAAACTAAGCCAAAGGAGTCAATAAGGTCATAAACAAAGAGTTATACTACATTCAAGTCAAACCCTTCCAATCACACATTCACACTAATGGAAAAGTTCAGCATGGTCATTACTAATTAGATGCTAAATAGTTAAAATCATAGATTTGAGTTAAACCCATACAGTTCAGTGTTACTCAACTCCTTGTCTCCTTGTATTGAACCTAGGAACTTCTCAATCGAAATGCAAGATTAAGTGAAACTCCAAGAACAAATCTGAGAGGAATTCGATTAACATGTAAACATCAAATCCAGAAAGGTCAAAACAGGGTCTTTGGCTTATAAAGAAAAAGAAAACCCAGATTAGTCATTGCAAATAAGAATGCCACACTCATACTCCATTTCAACATAAGAACAAGAAAACACGATTATGAAGAGCGTTTAACAAATCAATCAAGAAAACAAAAGACAAACGAGAAGGAAGCATACATGGATGGTAACTCTTGTTCTTCAGAGATCCAGGCGCATCAATCTTCTGCAAGTGCCTCAATGGCCAATGGGTGTAAACGCAGAGAGAGAGCGAGAGAGAATGGTGGGTATTCTCATTCCCTCTCCCCCCATCCAAAATGCTTAGCTTTAGGTCAAGAAGCTAATCTTACTTATGGGTATTGCGTATTTATTTAGGGTATGCAATTATGCATACGCTTAGCTGTAAATGGTGATGAATCTGCCGAGAGCCGTGACCTAGCTCACTGCGAATAAACTACAGGAAGAGAAGCTGTCGGTGAGCCGAATATCTGACATTGCCGAGAGGGGAATTGGCGGGACGTGTAGAAAGGGCCCCACACTCCCACACCTTCCTGTTCTCGCGATTGTAACGAACCTTCCACCGACAGCTTCACGTCTCCCAAGCTGCGACGGCACACACGGAGGCGAAAGTTTTTTAATACTCTTATCCGGAAATACTTTTCAATGATAATACTCCGTACAAGAAATTAGGGGGTATCAAATTGGAGTAAAGATTACTAATTAATTAAAATGTTTTAATCGTCTTTGTCGTTCTGGTTCAGATCGTGGCTTGATAACTATACGGCCGATAACGGCGGCCGTCTCCTAGGCACGTCCTAGGGTTTTTTTCCGGCGGCGGCCTATCCAGGCCGTGGGTTCGGTCGATCTCTCCCCGGTAGGCAACTAATCTCATATATCTTCTCAGGATATTGAGTTCCGTTGTCATCGCGGAGTTTGTTTTGTTTCGTTTTTGTTTTCTTTCTGGCTTGCAATTGTGGTGAATCTTGATTTGGTTTGGACGAAGCTTTTGTTTTTTCTGCTTTACAAGAGCAGTGAACAAGCGAGGAAGCTTTCAGGAGGGTTCGAGGCTTCTGATTTTGGCAGGGGACGTATTTAGCAAGGGGAAGATAGGGTGCTGCAGAATGTTGAAGACGAAGCCGAGCTGTTATTCTTCGGCAGTTTGGGAACGAGTTTTGACGAAACAGATTGCTATTGGTGAAAGCATGGAGGTTCTGGTGGTCGACATCGTGCTGTTGGACTGGAAAATCAAATTTCAGGGGTTCATTGGTGGCCTGTGTGTGAAAGAAGACGAATGGATGTTGATCCGTCCACCTCCAGAACCGCCGCCTTGGAGGAATTCTGCGACTAGGGTTTGGACGAGTATTTCTATTTCTGCTGAGTCGATTGTGTTTTGTTTTTATTTTATATCGATTGTGTTTTGTTGCTTATTTATTTTATGCTGTAAGACTTTTGCACTTGGATTGGGGATGAGAGGCATGTGGTAATCGTCGTGATTTTGAATATGCTCAAGTTAGGATTAGCGAGTTATATTGCTTTGTCAAAGGTGATTAACTCAGAGTCTCGTCCACGGGCGGATGGTTACATGTGGACCTTTTGTTATTTCAACCCCTTTCTGAGTGCTTTTTATGAATGAATGCCCGTTCGATGATAAAAAAAGTTTCAAAATGGGTATGTGTTTTAGTACGTAATACTTGTAATTAATTTCAAACGCGAGAGGTTAGTTTACGATTAATAATAATATGGTGGTTATTTCGAATTGTACTATTTGGTTATATATATGAAAGAATGGCACATATATTACTAGTGGGATTTGAAAAGACAAAAATACGGATACTCTTAATTTTGGACAATAAAGAGACCCTTTGTTGCTTATCAGACTAAAACACCCCTGGAATTCTGTCGTTCTCTTTCTCGCAGCCAGAACCAGAGTGCAAAACCTTTCTTCAGTGTTTGTCTCCCGCTCAGCTGTACCTCTGGTCCTCATGGCAACATTCATCCGCATCAATCGATCTGCCGCTGCCATCGTTCCAACATCGCAACCGTTGGATCGCTGAAACCTCTTCCTTCTCATCAATTTCTGAATCGGCTGCAACAACGAAGCTCTCCATGAGCGCTGAGCTTGTAAATCGGTTGTGCTAATGTATCGGGGACAGTTGGAAGCCGACAACGAGGACTGCAATAGATCTGTCGCAGACGATTACAACAGATCTGGAATGTGTCGATGATATTGAGGGCTAGGCCATAAACGACGGCGACTTTGGGGCTTTTCCGGTGTTGGCCTTGAGGGCTGTGAGCAACGGCTACGAGTTGAAGAGGAGGGAATTGGGGCTGGGGCAAGGCAGACTAGGTTCGTAAGGACTGGTGAGTGATGACGAGTAGCAGAGAACGAAATAGGAGGCTGTTGGGGACAACTGCGAGTAGCAGAAGTCGGGTGGGGAACTGGGGCGGCGCTGGTGGGATTGGGGCAATGCAGGGGTGGCGCTGGTGGGATTGGGGCAATGTAAGGATGGCGCAGGGCAGGTGGTAGCAAGGTACTTGAGGGGTGGGGCGAGGTAGGTGATGGGTGGGGAGGCCATCCAACTTGTTGAGTGCGGGGCGGCAGTAGGGACGGGTGGAGGTGGTATCCCTATGCGGTGGCCGGCGGTGGTGGCTGGATGCAATGGCCGACGGTGGAGGCAGAATGCGGTGGCTGGCGGTGGAGGCCGGATGTGGTGGCTGGATGCGGTGGTCGGCGCTGGAGGCCGGATGCGGTGGCCGTGGTCGAATACTCGAATGCCGTTGCCGGCGGTGGAGGCCGGATGCAGTGGCCGTGGCCGGATACTCTGGCTGAAGGTGGTGGCCGGAGTGGTCACTATTGGATTGAGTTACTGTAAATCTGTAAATAATCGGATCGAGGTAAATGTAACTAGTGGGTCGATTAAATGTAGCTCGAATCAAGTAACTGTAACTGGACGGGTTGAGTGAATGTAACTGGACGGGTTGAGTGAATGTAACTGGACGGGTTGAGTGAATGTAACTGATCGTATCGGGTAACTATAACTGGATGGGTTGAGTAAATGTCATTGGGAATATAGTCACTGTGACATAGGTCACTATGAGCCGGGTAACTGTAACTGCAAAGTTCGGGTAACTCTAAATGGACGGGTTGGTAACTGTAACTTTTAACTGGACGAGTGGGATAACTGTAACTGGATGAGTTGGGTAACTGTAACTGGACGGGTTGGGTAATTGTAATTGGACGGGTCGGATAACTGTAACTGGACGAGTTGAGTAAATGTAACTGACGGGTCAAGTAACTATAATTTATCGGATCAGGTAACTGTAACTAACGTATCGGGTAATATAACTGATCAACCAATTGAAATTGGCAACTAGTAACTCTAACATGTGTGGGGCGGATAGGTATAAGTAGTTGGACGTGTAGCCGGATAGGCGGATAACCATAATTCTGGAAGAAAAAAAACATAATTTTTTTTCATCTTGAAAGTGGTTGTAGCATTTTGAAGAGCTGGGAAATGGCAATGGAAATTCCGGAATTTAGTCCATACGTATTCATTGTGATTTAAGAATCCTACGCAGTACATATGTATTACTGTAATAGTAGTATTTAGTTACGTATATAGAGTATTAATTAGGCAGGGGTATTTTTGATACTTAAGTTACTAAATGGTTGCCGGTAGTATCTTTTTTGGAAAAATGAGAAAGATATCTTATATTTGTCTAATCTCTTATAATTGGTAATATTGGTGACATAACCCCTATATATATTTTAATTTTTTCTTTTGTTAAAAGTATAACTTTGTATCGTTTAATTTGTATGTGGTAATTATTATTTACATTTTCTATTTGTTATACTAGACTTGTCTAACTAGCTAGTTTTTTTTTGGAAAGGATCTAACTTGCTATTAAATGTGCAAAATTAAATGGACTTATTAGACATAGCTAACTACTAGAAGATACATAATTTATAATTTAGTTTACTTATGTGTTTGTTTTCCGAGATAATCATTTAGCTTGTCACTTGTGAGAATGTAGTTTGTTTGTTTTCCTTTTATAACCGTGAATACTTCGAGCAATGGATCCCGAAGTTGCATACTTGCATCGAGTGTTTTTTTTTTTTTGCACACATGAAAAATACTTCCTCCCTCCCTAAATAAACTTCCAACTTTCCTTTTTCGTCCATCCCAAATAAAATTTCCACTTTCCCTTTTTGGCCAGAATGTGTGGTTCACAACAATTCTTACACATTTCTCTCTCCTCTGCACAACTCTCCATCACACAATACACACTATCTTAAACTGTGTGACAAACCTATTTGGAAGTTTAATACGGGACGGAGGGAGTACGCCGTAGTAGTCTTTGTTATAACAAGTGTATAACTCAATGCTCCTCTGTTGAAAATGCTTTTTTTTTCTCCTCCCATGCTCTTTCAAGTGTATAACTCATTGGTCAATTTCTTTTTGCCACATTTTTTATTTTTTAACAATGCGAATTGGAAGGGGCAGAGCTAGGGAGTCTGGGTGGTCAACCAACCCCTAAAATTTTGAGAATGTAAAATATTGAAATATCTCGAATTTGATGTATTATGACTCGCGTAATTTATTATGAGTAAAATATTATGACTCTTAGAAAATATGCATCATTTAAACATAAAATGGATACAAGTTGAGTTATACTACGTAATTAATACTCCACATTAGTTATACACCCACATATTAAAATAATTGTTGGGAAAAAACACTTCGGACTTTCCCGCTTCGTGAAGTTAAGATAGGCACTTAGGAAATAAGGTAGCAATGGGAGCACACGATTTAAATTCTCCAATATGGAGATTCTTCCACTATACAAAAGAATAGTAGGGTATACAAGGATGTTACAAAATTGTCTCACTCAATGGTGGCTCACTCAAGCTTGAGGATGATGTCTTCCCAAGCTATCTCTCTTCTCTCTCAAAGAGGCTCTCTAACTTTCTCACTCTAGAAGTGGATTCACTCTTGGCTAGGATTGGTTAGAAATGGAGGCTCTTACTCCTATTTATACTACTCCACCTCCCTAATGAATGGTGGAGAGTAGTTCTCTAGAATGCTCTACATATGTCTACATATTCTAGAAAACTCCAAGGAATCTCTACATCTCTCCATTCTCTTCCATATGCTTCCATACTCTTCCATAGGCTTCCGGAAGGTTCCACACATCTCTAGAATATTCTAGAGGATTCCACATTATTCACAAGCTTCTAGAGAGTTCTAGACTT